GAGCTCTGCAGCTCCTCCAGAGTCATCATGGTCCTCTTTGATGCTTTTCTGATTAATTCTCTTCTCCTTGGCAATGTGTTGGTAAGTTAATTTCCTACTTTGAGTTGCTTAGTCACACGAACCCCTCCAAAACTAAAGTTCGTGGTTGCAACAAGACAAAACGCGAAAAAGCCCAGGAGGTATGAATAGTTTTGTAAGGCACCGTAAAACTAATGAACATGTGTGTGTGTCTGTGTAAGGCTTTGTAAAACACCAATTCCTTTTCACGCTTTGCTCCTTTAGCTCCCACTTCTGCTGCGTACCTGTAAGGCAAAGGTGTAAAGGTGTGTGTCACGTACAAACATACAAAAAAACAAGCAATTACATGCGTACTTATAGAGCACATGCACACACGCATACCTAAAGGGCTGAGCAAGACTGCTATCCCCTTACTTGGCCAGACCACAGAGTGTCCATGAACAACACATTTTCTTTTTAAAACAAACATTTACAAAATAAAATAGAAAATGACATGAAAGTGAAGGAAGAGCAATAATGCAAGTAAAAATGGGGATGAGTTCACAAAAAAACCAAAAAAACTAAAAAAAAAAAAAGAACAGTTGCTCAAGGCTCCCTTTGAGTTCTCCAACTGTTCTGATTGGGAGCCTGACAGGAAACTTTGACAGAAAGAGTCCGGGCACTGCAAAGACAACGGTGGTCCACTCAGGTGGACCCCAGAAAATGCACATGATGAACATGGAGAGTCCATGATTTCGAGGGATGCTCAATAAATTCTTGACTCTTGCAATGGAGAGCTTAACGACATCTTGTGATGTTTCTGTTGTTTTTTTTGTTTTCACACAGGCGTCTCCGGTCCAGGAGCGTAGTAGGCAAACCCCGCCCCTGACAGACGAAGCATATATGGGCTGAGACAGGTCAGGTCGGACCCCCCTCCCTCCGCCAGGTGAGCCAGGAGTTTCTGCGGAAGAGGACTGGAGCTGCGGAGGGACAGCGTTTCTGCAGCACCGAGGTGGAGGAGGGTGGAGTCTGTGCTCCTGCCTTTGTAGGATCGACGAAAGGACAGAGGGGTCAGCTCGGCCGCGCTGCCGGACAGCAGCTTCTCGCTGACCTACAGAGACGAGGGAAGTGTCGTCAGGAGACAAATCAGGACTGAACCTGAGAAGAATGAAAACATGCACAACAGCCGACCAAATGTGGAGACGCGAACAGAAAATGAGCCTACAATGACAGGAATAAGAGTTTTGTTTTGAGGTTTTAATAATTTCTTTCTTTTGATTACGGGGGAACTGTAATTTATCCATCAGCTGGTGATGGATCTTTGGGGGGAAATTAACACGAACAGATTGGATGACAAAATCCAGTAATGTCTGAACGGACATTTCTACTGAGTAGTAATGACCTCAGAATATTCCCAATATGAATAATAATAAATTTACACTTGCAGTCCTGGTCTGTAACACTAGATGTCAGGAGATTACCAAAAATATTTTTATAAAAAATAAATAAATAAATATAAAAACACGCAAAACGTGTTTTTTGTGTTGGATTTGTTGAGATAGCAGTAAAATATCACCTTGATGTTGCATCGAAACCAGTAAAATTTGTCTGAATCTCCAAAATATCTTCCATTTCAAAGCTAAACCTACAGATCACGCCTTGAATCTTACTAGTGCTCAAATCCACCATTCCTAAGCGCTACCAGTAATTCAACAAACACAACTACAACACCCTTCAGTAGGGAAGATGTTACTGCAGAAAGGCGACTCAAAGTTTTTCAATATCAGTAAGGAGTTTAAAACAAATCCGGAGGAAGCACGTAGCTGTTATAAACATTTTAGAAAGCAAACTTTTTTTTTTTTTTTTTACATAGGTATGTCAGCAGCTCAATCAATCTGCTGGCGAGGCGCAAGCCATTTAACTCCTTCAATAATGTGTAATTTAGCTGTTTTTAGTCCTTCGTCTTTAGTTTCATCGAGCTGACGAAGGAGAGAGTTGACCTAACATGGACTGCAACAGATAACAGGAAGGCTGAATGAAGGTGTGCAGTATCCAGGGATTAACAAAGAGATTTAAAGATATTGATGGTAACAATGATACTTTTGATTATAATCACTAATACATATGTATATGGCCATACAAACAGTTCATAGTTTAACTCATCTAATTTTTCTAATTTTGTTGTTCTTCATTTTTGGACTACCATTGTAATTTGGTTTCTGTTTTAATTTTTTTATTCTTCTGTGTTGAAACCTTATCAAAATTTAAATTTTTCTTGTTTCCACTAGGTGGAGATGTTTGCATATGCACAGTAAATCTTAAACTTTACACGTAAGAGCTTGAAATTTGTTGTTTCTATGACTTTGCACTACAATAAAAACTGATCAGAATCAAGATTCCAGCAAGTTTTTTAACACTCTCAGGTTCTGGTAATATCTGTTCAGATTCCAATTTGCAAACATAGGATGGAAATTAGTTTTTAATTTAGTGTTTTTTTCTAGAACAGAAAAAAGAAGAGAAGAGAAGACTTTAATCACTAAAACTAGAATATAAGGTGTTAAAATATATATAAAAAAATTTAAATATCTTATGTGTTGTAAGAACTGAAATTTACACCCGCTGAATTGAAAGAAGTTCATATTTTTTGACAGAGGTGTACGCCTCGCTCTCGCCCAGTGACCGCTGGTGACGGGCATAATATTTTTACAGCAATGTTTACAAGAGACTGTTTTGTGTCCAAAGAATTTAGATGACGCATTTTATTTACAAATGAATTTGCGGAAAAAATAAAAAAAAAAAAAAAAAAAAAAGCAAGGGACAAAGAAGGAACACAAAATGAATGAACCCCGGGGGGTTAAGTGGCTCAGGCTCAATAAAAATGGAGGAAAGGTGGAATTCCTCATTTGGCTGCAACCCAGACCCGGCTCATTTTCAGCACGCTAGCAGTGGGAGTCTGATTAGCTGTGGAACTGGCACAGCAGACTTAATTGTGGGGTTATCATTCCCGGATAGTGAGTTTGAGAAAAGGACATTTCTTGAGGAACACATACAAACTGACCTAACCCACCGCCTCTATTAAAACAGAAGCAGCAGCCATGCTTTGTGCTTTCGCCATGGAGGTCTTAGCCCACAAGCTTTGAGATTTCAGATAGTCATAGGTCCAGCATCTTTATGTCCACACTCTCTCTCTCCATCAAACGGCTCCTTCTCGCTGCCTACTTTGCCACCAGATGGGCCAGGAGTCACACAGATTTCCTGGCACCCCGCTATCGCTACCTTCTGTAGATAACGTTAAATGAAGGTTGATAACACAATCTGCTCCAATCTCATGTACTAAATATAGGAATTTTAGGCTTTTATCTCAGTCAGACCTAAAATACGTCCTGACTCAACTCCTTGTTTATTATTCCACCATTTTAGAGCGAGAATATTTCCACAAAAGCACACGAGAAGACCAAATTCTGAGTCATTTTCTGCTCCTAACTTGCAGAAGCTTCCCATGCCTTATTTAACCATCATCAGACTTGACAGCCGCATATTAGACACAACAATGATCACACCAGGGAGTGTTCAGAACAAAGAAGTAGATTACCAGCTTGAAAGTGAATTTAAATCTATAAAAAAAAAATAAAAACACTAAAATGTAGAGAATCCTCCTTACATTTTCACACAGTCTTAGTAGATATTTTCAAAAGTCAGATTTCCATTTAAATAACCGGTAATTGAAATAGCATGACTCGCTGAACAAGGTAGTATCTCAAATCAGTTGCTAAAAGCGACAATAAATTTGATGCTGGCAACAGCTGACACCTTCTTTACTTTATATAAGCTGCTTGTGGAAGTCTACACTGTTTGGACAGTCCCTCTCCTCTTTGACTTAGAAGAAGTCGTCATTTGCAATTTCATTAAAAATAATTACATAATAAGAATCAACAGAGTTCAGGAGTCTTATGGTGCCTCGAAACAATGTTCGTAACTTGTGAACTTTCCTATATCCTGTCGGGATTTTTTGATGGGATTTCATGTGATGAACACATAATCATGAAAGGCCAGTAAGAAATCATGAATGGTTTTCAAAAGTGACCCCGAGCCGCATTTCAATACTTTGTAGAACCACCTTTTGCTGCAAAGACAGCACAAAGTGTTTTGCAGTTTGTTTCTTCCAGCTTTATACATCTAAACATTTTTGTACATTCTTGATTCACTTATTTTGGTTAGCATCGACGGTCCAGTTTAAAATCCTGACCTACAGTGGTCAGGCGGTCAAAAAGCTGGCAATTTTTGAATGAGCTTGAATTACATGCAGTTTCTCCACTGCTAATTCAAAAAACAAAACTGTCTGTAGGCTTGGCTGTTTTTCTGTTTTAAAATTTGGATTTTTGTCTTTTAAGTAATAGAGAAATTAGTAAAGCTTATCAACATGGGTTAGGATAAAACCAAGTTCTGTACTTGCTAGGCATTTGAAAACCTCATCAGAATATTGTTAAAAATAAGAACAAAACAGATCGCAAGTCCAAAAATGCAGGTTGTGAAAATCTGAATTGATAATATCTTACCAATTTTGGCAATTTAGTCAATGCATCACAGATTTCTGAAACATGATATGATGGAACAAAAAAAAAAAAAAAAAGCACTTAGAAGAGAAACGACAGGAATCGGGCTAAACCTCAGAAGTTGTGTTGTCATCAGTGGCTGATTAGCATGGTGTAGAGACAAGCAGTTTGACACTGGACCATGCCAGCATGCACAATCAAATGAGGGCTTAAAAGAAAGTCACCTCCTCTTCCTGCTCCTCTCTCTCTCTCTCGTCTCTCTCTGGGCCAATCAGAAACTCATTCTGCTGGAGGACTGAGAAAGCATGAAGATGGTGGACGGCTCCACAGTAAGGCACGGGCGGGTGGACTGTGGTCACCATGAAAGAGCGGGACAGTGCAGCGTGTCGCAACCACACGGAGAAGAGGGGAAAAAAGAAGGGACGACGAAAAAGGTGAGAAGAAGGGATGGCAGGAGAGAGGAAAAATGCAGAAGGGGTTGAAGGAGAAGTGAAAGGAGCAACAGGGAACGTGTCGATACGGATGACGGGGGATCCATAAAGTGAAGTGAGAAGGGGAGGAAGAAGAAAAAGAGCACAGCAGGAAGAAATCAGTCAGACCTTTCACTCGTTTTTTTTCCCCCCTTCCATCTCATGGTAAAACTTGCTTCAAAAGGAGGGTAAAGCTAAACTACTGGGAAGAGGAAGTCAGAGTAAATCCAGCTGGTGCTCAAAGCTATGAAACACATCAACAGTCTTCCTGGATTATTAGTAAAGAGGAGGAGATTTACAGCTTCTGCTATGACGTTGTAACATTACTGACTGGTATAAAGTAGGATTTAAACAATTTCTACTTGCTAAATAAGCAACTCAAGTTGGAAAGAAACTCCATGTGTTGAATTGGTTTAGTAAAGTGTTAGTCGCACTGTGTAACATCAGCAGAGGTAAAACTTCAAATCTATTTTTAAGAATCTTTTTCGTACCTGTGCTCGCTCAGTAGCTGTTGGACAAATAGCCCTGCAGAGGACTTTCTTGATGACATCCGGCAGCAGGCTGACGGTAATGAGGAGGATGATGCTGAGCCACGCTGGGCCACTGGACAACATCTGCATAAACACGTAGTACATCCTCTGGTAGTTCAGGAAGGGCCTGAGCAAGCAGCAGGGAAGACGGACATTTATTCCCAAACGGAATCAGTCTGGCAAAGACCGCGTGGATTGTGGCTGCGTGGAGGCCTTACCAAATGATGCCGCCCCAGAGAAGAGAGAAAATGACGTAGAAAAGCAGCGAGCCCCAGATTACGAAGTGGTTGATCCAAGTCCAGTGACACGTGTCCAAGGCAAGCTGGACCGTAGAGAGAAGAAGCAGTGGAAACAGCGAATCAGTCGGTACAGGAGAAACTCGTCAGTAAATTTACGATTTTAAATCATTTCCTTGTAGTATTTTAAAGTGGTCTTACTAGTAGCCCTAACCCAAACAGATAGAACCAGTGTGATGCGTTATATGTATTGGTCAACTATCGGGTCGAGACCACTGCCCGTTGTAGTCAAAGTGATGTTTTGTCTGGTTTTACTCTGGAAGTTTAAGCTTAAAGTCTTAAACTTTACGATTTACCAAACGATGCCGCCCCAGAGAAGAGAGAAAATGACGTAGAAAAGCAGCGAGCCCCAGATCACGAAGCCTAACCCTAGGCATTTTGTCGCCTAGACGACAAAATGCATATAAAACTCAATAGAGAATATTTGTAGTTTAAAAAATACTCAGAAAAGCTCCTGCTACCTGCTGCTGTGAGCCGTTAAAACTTTCTCTCACTAAAATAGGTAACAAGTGTTATTTGGCCATTTGTTCATGAATAATTTTTGATCATTTACAGCAGCTTACAGAGGTTGTTCAATTATACCCTTACCAAGTATTTTTGTTTTCCTTGGGATGACATAAAAGGCTTTTGACTGCAACACCTGTTTTTATATACTGTTATGTCCTAAGGCCCCTCATAACCTCCACCTACTCCCTCTCTACCGTCTGCAGTTCAAATTTAGCAGTTCTGCAGCTGGCAAGAACCTGTTATGTAATTATTGATCTTGTAAATATGAATCTAGAGCTAAAGAATAAAACTCCTCTGGCTAATTCCTAAACCTTTATTGTTCCCTTTATAGTTCATGTTTTGGAGAACTTCTAACAGGAAGAAGACAGGATTTTTCTCGTTTCGTTTTGCTCACTCACACACCTTGAGGGTCACGGTGAAAACCAGGACAGTAAAGATGAGAGTCCCAAACGTCCAGTTTCCGAACATCTGGAAGAAAAAGATGAAGACAACAGTTAGCGGCCAGGCTAACAGTAAAATAATTACCAAGACAATGACTGTAGACAGCACAAGTGAGCACAAGAAAGAAAGTGTAGGACAATCTCATGTTTTATTATTAACTGTGGAAAAGAGTGTTCATTCAAAAAGATGTTAATTATTATTAGGATAGGATTTTGGTAAAAAATAAAATAAACATTTCCAATTTATTTCACAGCATTCACATGTTGCTACTTGCTGAAATCCTAGCAAGGTTTAGGCAGACACCAGGAGTTAACAGATGGGATGGGACTATAAGAGAGGGGAGGAGAGCGGGGAAACGGGGAAATCGAGGCAAAGAGGACGGCTTATATAACAACTAAAGCTGGCTGTTGGCACCAAAAAAAGCCTATCCAGAATTATTTTAAACGGGCAGATAGCGTAATATTAATAAAAGTACACAGACACACAAGTACACACAAAAACAAACACGGCAGACAGAAAAGGAAACAAACAGATGTTGGATCTAAATCAGCAGCGAATATTAAATTCCCTGCCACACAGCACAAGACAGGGATAATGTGGAGAAGCTTCTAGGATTTCTACCATGTCAGCAGAGTGGTTAAGATTAGGTACTATGCGGGATTCAGAGCGTTGCAGAAATTTAGAGGGGGAACGAAAGCGCTAGGAATCTACACATCCAAATGGGAGTTGCATGGATTAGGTGGAGTGAGGATGAACTGAAAGCATAAACAAGACGACAGGAACTGAAAAGGGGCATGGAAGACAGAGAGAGCTGACAGGGGAGGGAGACAGGCTTACCATCTGTGTGTTGGTGGTCATAAGCTGAAGAAGGAGAAGGAGAAGGAGAAGAAGAAGAAGAGAAGGAGGAGGAGGAGAGGAGCAAAATAAAGAGCGAGGAAGCAGAGAAAAAGGGAGGGGGAAGAAAAGAGAAATGAATCAGGACAAAGGGTAAAATGAATTTCAGGATGTTTAAACTTAAAAAAACAAAAAAACAAAACAAAACAAAACAAAAAAAACAGGACCGAAGGCAATCAAAAACAGTTGACATGATACAAATTAACAATACAGAGAAAGATGCTCTTGTGTTGTTCGATATGAATGGAGATCCGATGTTCCGGCGACAGAAACTTTACTGGTGCTGAGCCATATAGAGACAAAACACGACTACAACGTCAAGTCGCTGCACCTAAAAGCGTCCGGTGAAGATGAGTGAGCGTTCATGGAGACTCCACAGTTATCCTCCCATGACTGATGCCTCTGATGCGCATGTCATGTCTGCCGTTTCTCCTCACTGCCTTTGGCGACGCAGAGAAGCTCACCTGGCCGTTGCTGGTGAAGGTGGTGTTGTCGAACAGGAAGTAGGCACCGAAGAAGAAGATGACCGCGTCGAACACACCCAGGCACGTCCAGTACAGGAAGACGGGCCAACGGAGGAGGGAGTTCTTCGCGATGTCCCTGAGACGCACGGAGGGAAAACGTGTTAATAAAGGTAAACGGGACGCGAGGCGCGGCGTCGCACAAAATCAAACGTCGTCACCTGTACAGAGAGGGCTCCCTCTTCAGCGTGTCGATGGTCACGTGCTGCTCGACCAGGCTGTACAGGAGGATGGGGAGGGAGGTGAAGCTGATGTTGTACAGCGTTAAATACGCCGTGTCGTACAGAGGCTGCAAAGGGACAGAGATGCTTTAGAGGCAGGAACTAAAAGAGTGTTCCTGTTAAACAATGCCAGCTGATTTCTATGCATTTATAACCATGAAACTCACACAAGAAGGAAAACAAAAGGAAAACTCTGGAGTCTGCACCTTTATTATGTAATCTTTTCCTTTTCAAATAGCTCCAACTCCACAGACAGGATGTGTTTTCACACCTTGCTCTCTTACACAATAGCTCTGGGGAAGGATATGATTCCCCTTCCTTCCTCCAGTTTCATCTCTACTAGCAGGGACGGCTACCTGGGTTTGACGACCCTCAGCTTCAGCTGCCTCTCGAGGACATTCCCTCAGAGGCCTGACAACTACAGCTACAAGTGGACTTGATTAAACCAGAGGTGAACACTTCTACCACGAGAAGCAACCAAATAGGAGAAACGCTTAATTTACTTAAATGGTTTTATGATTTATTTATTTTTTACATTTTTATGGTTATATCACAATCCTTCCAATCCTGGCTGACTACACATCCAAAATACTTCTATACAGAAGTTACAGTCTGCGTTCCACAAAAGGACGTTTCTATTAGTTGTGTTTCTTTTTATTAGCTTCCTGTGTGTTTTTATCATCTTATGACGATACTGTTGATTCCCACTGCTGAATAAAATTGAAATCAACTGATAAAGACGACGCCATCCATTATTACTTCCATAACCAATGCGCTGCTGTGTGACGTTAACTTTCGTCTTATAAACAGAAGGAATCTTTAAGGGGAAAAACACTTTTTACAGCTCTCTAGTTACTAGTTCCCAATTTCCAGGGTTTTTATTTCATTCACAAGTAAAATTTGTTTTTAAAACTGTAGTGCTGTTGATAAATTGTGAATAAGCTTCAACAGAATCTTACAATGGGAAAAAGCTTTTTCCTGTACAGTATAAAGTACCTACCTGCTGCGAGAAGCCACAGAAGAACTGATACAGGAACTGAGGGAAGATGAAGCACACATTCTGCAAGGATTTAAGAGGAGAAGAGAGAGGAAAAAAATAAATAAATAAATGATGAACCACAAAAAACAAATCTAAAACTGCAGCTATCTACACATTCCTGTTTATGGTGAGATTATGCCCTATGAGCTTACTGAGTGGGCGGTAAAAAAAAAAAAAAGCAGTGATGCCAAATGGGAAAAAGTTGAGTCAGTCGGCAGAGCGCTACATGCTGTGGAAGCCACACACATTGATCACTGCGCCCGTGAATGATCCAGGAGAGAGTTGCACTTTACCGGAGAACTAAATCCAGTCATCTGTGTTACGGCTGGGGGTTTTTTTCCCAGTTCAAACAAGCATAAAATGATTTACGTTTGTAAGCATTCGCCCCTTACCTTGTAAAAGAAGTACTGAACGAGCTCAGCGATTCGGATGTAGTAGTAGTGGCCGTGGACCAGAAGCATCTTCTTCAGGTGTTTAAATTTTGGGATGGCATAATCGCTGTTTCTGGCTGCCTGTCGGCCTTCTTTACCCATGATGCCTAGGGGAAAGAAACTGTTTACTCACAATCTGGAGTGTAAAGCCCAGAAATACAAAATCAGGGTTCCTACTAGGATCGCACATCATTTGGTGATGATGGTGTAATTGTTAAATATTGCAAATTATATAATTTGCGTTAAATCCACATTTCCTCACTCCATGCTTACACCCCCTTTCTGTGAGCATCTTGAGCGCGTTAGGTGTGGGTGTCTACTACAGATACACCATCCAGCAGGATGAAAATAGCACTGGCATGCAGTAGATGAACTCCTAGCACACTGAGTATAATAGGCATAAAAAATAATGCACTCCAAACAGAGCAATGAGAAAACACTGAGTGAAAATTATTTGCTTTTCAATGACAAATTTTTGTCAGAGCTCCTCATGAAGTCATTGCAGAAGGTTAGACTTTAAATTTGGGATGGAAAGATACGTGTTTGTTCGGGCAAACAGATAACCGGATGTGCGATTGGTTAGATGGATGAATAGTAAAATTGACAGCAGGATGTACAAACAAACTATATTTTCTCAGATATCACCAGGATCACCTATATAAACATCTTGTGATTGAGAGCGTAATTATTTAAGGTAGCAACTGAACTCACCAATGCCAACATGTGCTTCTAAGATCATGCTGACGTCGTTGGCTCCGTCGCCAACAGCGAGGGTTATAGGATGTTCCTTCGAGGATTTTATTAGCTTCACAATCTGCCAACACAGAAATGTTTTAAGCCAGGTGAGAGAGTTATTTAGACATACACATAGAACAACTGACAAAAAAAAAAAAAAAAAAAAGGGGAAGAAAGAAAGTCTCTGTCACCTGGGCTTTCTGCAGCGGTGCCATGCGACAGCAGAGAACAGCGCTACAGTTGCGACAGATTTCAAGAAAGATCTCTCTGTAGTTCCCATGGCCAGACACCTCTTGGCTGGGCTTTAGTACTGCAGAAAGAGTCGCCCCGTCGATAATCAGGCCAAAGTCGAGGCAGTCCACTGACAACCTGCAATCAGAGGTTGAATGAGGTTTAATCAAGGAGATTCGTCAACACAACAAACTCAACCAGATTTGGACTTCCGTACCCGGATATGGAGCGCTGCCTGAGAACGGTCCTGTTCAGCTCAAACAGAACGTCGTGCAGGCTCTGCTCTTTGGTGCGCTTCTTGGTCAGCTCCAGAATCTGGGTGCTGCGACGGAAAAGCTTGCTGGCGTAACACGTGGCGGCGGCCGTCTCCATCTTGTCCCCCGTGAGGACCCAGACTTTGATGCCGGCCTTGTGCAGCGACTCGATGGTGTCCGCGGCTTTCTCCTGCAGCCTGTTTGTCAATAAGTCGATAAGTGTTTCAGGGTGCAGACGGGTGGGCAGCGCCATCAATCACAGCTTCAGTTAATCCATTACCGACGGGTGATAAGTTTTCAATGCAAGACCACCACAACCCTGTCGTTTTCACATCGGCAGTTTATCTGTTAGGAAATTAAACTGTCAAGCACTTGATCAATCAGTCAGGGGTGGAGGCTGAAGTCTTATTTCGTTGTGCACAAAAATACTCAATTACTGCACAATCCAGAGAAAACGAAAACAAAAGGCACCACTCAAGAGTTCATAGTGAACCTTTTTTTTTTTTTTGCTGCCATGAGTCAGGACAACTGTCTAAATTTAGTGTAAAGCTTCATTAATCCCCACCCCCCCGCTTCTGTCCCCTTGCTGCACCATTTCTAAATCGTTCCCTTCCTCTCTTCCTGCATTGACCAACCTGTCCTCCACCGCTGTAGCACCCAGGAGGACAAAATCCCTCTCGATGACGTCGTAGGCCTGAGCCAGCCTCTGCTCCCTGTCCTGCAGGGCCAGCTTGGCTTCGGTCAGGTAATGACACGCTTCCTGGTACTCCGACTCCGACAGCCTTCGGTAGGCGACGCACAGCGTCCGCAGCCCCTCCTGGTTTCACAGCGGAGAGAGAAAAAGAGAGGAATGAAAAGATTATTGATATTATACAGTTGGTAGATGAAGCTCAATTTTTAAAGCATATAAAATACTTCTTCTTTAAAGACCACACCATCCTGAACAAAGGAACATTAATATTCAGTTGCACGTTTGTCCCTTTCAGCCCACAACAATATATAAGAGCTGTATGCCCACTATAGGAACAATATAAGGTCACTAAAAAGCTTCCTCTCTAAAATCTCCTGAAATTGGCACGTGTTTCAAGAAGCTCTGCAGGGTCTGATATCTGGGTCACAGACAAGTAGACCAATAGAAAAAGGGTAAAGGGAGGCAGAATGTTAAAAGATGAATCCTGCTTGTGTATGTGCAAGTTTTTTAATTATAGTGCCGGCCAGACTTCTGGGTGATGCATCTGCAAGCATTACATGCCTACAGAGTGAAATTTTTGCAGATTTCTTTTTTTTGTTGTTGTTGTTTTTTTTTAAAAAAAAGCTCAAGCTCAGTCAGACAGGACGGAGAATAACTATAGGAACAAATTCTCGAGTCATGCCACAGATCTCAATCAGATTTAGGTCTGGATTTGGACTTGAAACACGTGAAATAATCTAAAGATGATTTAAATCATGAAACTGTAGCAGCTACACGGTTCTATTAAGTATTATTGTGGGATGATTTTCGCTAAATTAGACGTTCTGTCGGAATAAGCAGATAATTGATCATTCGCATAACGAATTCAAATGAGCTTGATCATTTCCATCCTGACGATTTACATTTATTTATGGTATTTAGTTGTCTTTTACTTGGATATTTTTGGATTTTTTTTTTTTTTTTACAAAATAAAAGTTTATTATTCTTTGAGTGAGCAAATTTGCCTTACTGTGCCATTAACAATATATTAATTGAAAATGGTTTCAAAACAACAATATCATCGTTTATCGCAAAACTTACTGAGACAATTTATCATCCAGCCCAATTTGTCCGCTTAGCAGGCCTAACATTTACCAGTTTTAATTACCACATTAAATGTGAAATTTCCCTCAGATATATATTTAAGGATTTAATGTGCAACACGAAACATATGGCTAAATGTGTAAAATGGACATAATGTACCCTCAAACCCAATCAGCAGATGGAAAACATTCACTCACCACAGCGTTCTGCTCCACGTGGGCTTTGACTTGCTCCACCTTTCCAGACACTACTCGAGGAAAAATAGATGAGTCTGCACCTTTACAGAACATCAGGTACTCTCCTGAGGACACACACAGAAACAGCGCCAAGCGCTGTTAGCACACTGCAGGCACTGTGTCCAGCATCTAATTTTGGATCTATAAAAAGGTGAGAGCGGCGACGTCTCACCTGAGATGGACTTCACTATGACGCTCATCCTCCTCCTGACAGAGTCGAAGTTCAGCACATGGAGCAGTTCAAACCTGAAGGAGGGATAGAGTTGAAGTGAGTTCGCCTCCTTTTCGTTTCTTTTAGACTGAGGGCAAATTTCACAAACGGACAAAGTTTCTCCTTCCACACGGTTCCTTTTTAATAGCGCCTTGGCTGATTTTGCAAAGTATACACCTCTGAGTACACACTGTACTCCTGGTTCTGGCTGCTGGGTTCCACTGCAAGAGCTTATTGTTGAAGCCAGAATAGTTATTTTACATGTGATCAGGATTTCAGAGGTGGCCTTTGTTAAATAATGACTTCACACCACTCCCCTTTTATTCATCTACAGCACAAAATTAACATACTGGCTTCCTTTAGAAACTGCAGATGATTCTAATTCAGTAAAAAAAATAAAATAATAAAAAAAAATACACACATATATATTGAATTTGGCAAAAACGTGTTGCATTTTAGCAAAAAGAAAAGACAGAAAATCAAAGAAGACTTTAGAATCTGAATGCTCAACTTCTCCCTTCTCTCTCTTTCTCTCCAGCTTCATTAAATATAGCTCACTATCGACAGGCCGCCGCTGACGGTGTTGTACGGCCAGGTTGCTTACACAAACACACGCAATGGATCAAAACAGAGAATTTCCATAAAACCTCTCTGGAATTGAACCGGACTATTACTCAGTTCCACTCATCAGTTTAATCGTTTTGATCCGATTGAGCAGGTCTTCTAAGGTCGCAGATTTGTTTTTAATTTTTTTTCTTTTGTATCACAAGCTGAGAGCTAATTCTCTTCGGTCGGATAACGTAAACAGGACTCCGTCAGCTGGATTAATCCCGTTTTATCTTTCGTGGTGCAACAACTTATTAAAACAGACCTTTCGATCTCGTCGTCTTTGTTGAGGATCTCCATGTAGTTGTCCTTGAGTCGCAGATAGGTGTAACCCAGCCTGGCAACGACGGCGGAGGGAAAATGATTAATTAGAGGGTGACAGAAAGAGGTCATGTAAATGAACAGTCGCGTCTTTCGGAGGTGGCAAGACTGAAGTTGCTGTGACGCATGTTGCGTAACTTGAGCTGAGATGCATGTACAGTGCTTGTACACTGTGAAGGTTACAGTGGAAACCACTTGCATACACTATAAATAAGGCACATACCACATTCTTTGTCACGCTGACATTAAATCAGACTAAGCTTTTCCTGTTTTAGGCGAGTTGGGACAACCGACTGTATTTCCATTTAGCCACACTAATGACAGGAAGCATTTTCTGTTACTTTCTTTAAACTCAGAAATGTACACACATACACAAAGATTACTATGCTTTTAAACAATTTGGAAAAATCTACATCGGCGGTGTCCAAAGTGAGGCCCGGGGGCCATTTGTGGACACTGGATTAACTGTGTGTGACCCCAAAATGTACTTCAAGAATGATACAACTTTGGCTAGTCAAGCACTTGTGGTTAATGCAGATGGAGACTTTTTTTAGTTATTATTTTTTGATCAGGGTTAAAATTATTACTGACATAATTTTCCTACAATGGAAAATGTAAAGTATGACATTCGTTTTAAATCCAAGGCAGCGTCATGGGGATGTTTTACTGCAAGAGGGACGGGCGCAAACAGCAGATGGCATCATGGGAAAGGGATATATGAGAAAATATTACTGTAAATAACATCTCATAACATCAGCCAGGAAGTTCAAACTTGAGCACAAATGGATTTTCAAAATGGACAGTGACCTTAACCATACCACCAGTTACAGTGATTTACAGATAAGAACAGATCTAATGTCATTAAAAAATAAAGTTCTTTTCTTCTTAGTAGTGTGTATGTGAGGTTGATGTGGAACAAAGCTTGTTCAATAATGGGAGATATGAATAAAATGTGTCAAACATCTAAAGAGTGAAAAGTATCAGAATTTCAAAAATATGCTTTTAAAGAAAGAATCCATTCCTAGTTTTGCACAATGCACCCAGGACTTTTCTACTTATTATTTAGAAAAAGCTAATCACCCAAACTCAATTCTTTCTTGAGCAAAATGTGACTTTGTAATGTGTATGTGATATCTCATATACTTTTGTTTAAGTTCACTAAAACTTGTCATCATGATGTTACCTTTTCATTCCTTCCACCAAAGCTACTTCATCCGGAGACGAGGAAATGTAAAAGGAAGTGGGCCTGCCCTGATGGATGCCCCTTTTGATGCCGTCCACAGTCTCCTCCTCCTTCACCTGCACCGTGTGGCAGAGACACAGCGCCCGGAAAAACAGATCCTCGTACTCCTACGCACGCAAGTTAAATAAAACAAACTTTGACAAAGCACGTATCCTTTTCCTTCCATTTTGTTTTACCTTCTGTTGGCCCATCACATAAAATCTGTGGTTTTATATGTTTAACATATAAAACAAACTTACTCTCCTGTACCCCCCAGGTGAGGAGTCGATCATGTCTATGCTGGAGGCAGCACTGAGGATCTGGCCGTTGCAGATGGCATGTGGGATGTAGACATTGCCATCCACACAGCATTCAATAAACTCCATGTTGTTCTCGGTCAGAGTACCGGTCTTATCGGTAAACACGTACTCCACCTTGAAGGAAGTGAAAGCAGCAGCACATTTACATAAAGATTGCATCCAGTTATCTGTGCAGTGCAGTTTGCTTGAGTGTGTCCAGCCACATGCCTGTCCCAGCTCTTCGTTCAGGTCGGAGGTGTTCACCTGGGCTCCCTGCCCCAGCTCCTCATCAAACATCTCCTCATCCCACGTGATGAAATACGACCCAAGAAACTTCTGCATCTCTACAGTGACGTACATGGACACTGGGATGATGTAGTTAAACAGGACCATGAAGGCCAGGAAGTCCGTAAAGGCTCGGATGACCTAGGAAGTGGAGGATGCACGTTATAGGAATGTGGCTTTAGGGAAATTACAACACCACAGCTGCTTAAATGTTGCATCAAATGCGGAGAGTTGGGGACAGACCACGTGGCGCTGGCGCTCGTTTTCAGTCCTGTGGTTGTACCAGGGTTCGTCCCGGTCCGGTGACCACTGCCAGGCGTACTTCAGGACAGTGTTGATCACAGCTTTACTGATCAAGATGAACAAGTACACGATGAGGAAGGCGTTCATCGACCTGCAGAGAGTGATGGAGTGAAGAGGGGTCAGCGCCACGGAGCTGGGAAGTAAACCACTCCCCAAAGACACACTCTAAATCAAGCAGTGGGAAGGCCTCCATCATTAATCTTACTTCTCAACAGCAGAGCGCTTCTGAGATTTAGACTGGTAATTAAGCGCCATCTTGGTCTCCATGCCAGTGTAGACTGCAACAGCTGAGGAGCAGAAAACAAAAATGTTTCTTTTTTTTTTTTCCCAAAAATGTTTACAAATGCTTAACTGCATGCTCAAAATTATTGTAATACCATAAATATGTTGTGTGTTCTTCAGTGTGGCTCCTCTAAGAAGTAAATTCTCAGCTCCTAGTGTTCTGCAATTGTGAAGTAAATTCATTCTTTTAATAGAGTTCAGAAAACCCAAATAATTATTAGCATAGCAGTCAATAATACAGATTGTAATTTACTGTATTTACCACATCTTTTCGGGAAGTTTTAAGAAAGCATCAGGTACGTTCTAGAAATTACACAGTTAAAAGCCTCATCATAATCAACAAAAGGAAGTAACCTAGTAAGTTCAAGAAAGTGCTTGGTAATTTCTTAAAAACTCTGGAAGCCACCTGGTAGCTTACGTGGCAAGCTGCAGGAAAGTAACCAGTAAGTACCATGGAGCTCCGCAGAAGCTGCTGGTAAGCTCCACGATACTACTTAGTAGCTTTGGAATATTATTTGGAATACTTATCCAAGTAAGTATATGGTAAGATCAAGGAAAGGAACAAAGAATTTCAGTAAAAGTTCTTCAAAAGAACACATTGAGCTCCAGGAAAGGACCTGGTATGTTTTGGAAAAGTACATTATGTGGTAAGCACAAGAATGTGTCTAGAAAGCTCCAAAAACACCTAATAAACTCTGGTATAGTATGAGGAAAGCTTGATTGATTAGCATTTACATGTTAAAAAAAATCAGTCAGTTAATTATTCAATCAATCAATGAAACTCTGGCAATGCACCTGATAAGTTCCAGGAAAGTAACCAGGTGTTCCCAGCAGAGTACTTACTAATATCAGCAGAGTACCTGATAAGTTGCTGGAAGGTATGCAGCAAACTTCATTGAAGTTCCAGGAAACTACATGATCAAACTACATGAATCATGAAAGTTCTAGAAACGTATCTGGTAAGATCCATGAAGCTTCCGGAAAGTAACCTCTAAGGATTCGAAAGCTAAAAGGTTGCATTATGTAGTGCTACAGACAAATTAAAATATTTAACCAACATTAGGCTAAAATAAACAAAAAAATGCAATATAGATACAATTTTAGGCAATAAACCACAGCACAAACAACTGCCCACCTGGACACAGGCTCCTCTTTGTCCTTGTAAATGTTGATGCGTCCCACAAATCTGGAACAAAGCGGGAAAGCAAAATTAAATCAAGATGTCCATGGCCATAAGGTTACATCTTGTAAAAGGTCTGTGTACAACGATCCATCTACGGGGATACACTCACTTGTAGAGGTCAGGCTGCGGTTGTTCACATTCAATAGTGGCATGTAATGAATCCACCTCCTGCTCCGTTTTAAAGGCCATGGTATCTGGTACAGCGTAATAGGTCTGAGACAAAAAGGTGGCAGAAGGTGGGGGAGCAGAAAAAGAAGACGGGGGGGAAAATGTCACCAAGACACCGACTATGAGGTTGGGATTGATTTGGTGTTTAACTTGGGCAGTTTCTCTAAGCGGCCTCAACAATATGTGAAGGGTGCAAGTAAGCTGGTAAATGTTTCAGAGCAGGCAGACGGTAAGACATGAGTCACTATCAGGGATGCCAATAAGTGAGGCTTAGCTATAAACAATAAAGTACTGGAGATTTACACTGCACTTACAGAAAATATTGTTTTGCACATTGCTAAAGATCTGTGATATAACCTGCCTGGAAACAGCTATGTTTGATTTTGTTTTTAATAGTAGCAGGAATACAATTTATATTATAACAGGCATTGTTCTGTCCCAGAGGGCATGTGTTGTTGGCTTAAAATATTTTGCTATTTTGCTACATCAAAGATGCTCAATGTAGACGATCACCTTCTCATTCTTTTAAGGATGCAAAACTTCTCGCAATTTCAATGGTTTTAGATAGCAACTTAAATTAATTCGAGTTTAAAATGCGGCTGAGACAGAAAGTCATCACTCGTCTCTTGCCAGCACCTTGTGACTTGACTCCCCGTCGAGGCTGGTGGTGGTGACGTAGCAGGTGCCGTCGTCCCGGCTGGATGAGAGAAAGATGAGATCACAGGGGAAAGTCTCGTCCTCTCTCACCATGACGATGTCGCCCACCTGAAAAGGAGAGGCACAGCAGCTCTCTTGTAAAATAACAAAGCAGATGTAGTAAGATTAGAAAAAAATATGTAAAAGGAAAACAGAAAAGACCTGTGGGTAACCGTCTGCTCCTCTTTACGATTCTTTTTTTTTTTTTTTTCCAAAGGAGTGAGAAGTTGCATAACGGATTATGTGAGCAGAGCAGCTTAAACTCGGATAAATCCTGTCTCCACGGTGACCGTACACATAACACACTCTCTCTCTGATTTATTATGATTAATGTATTCATCATTATTCCTACTCCCAACGCACGCTCTAATCCTTGCTGTTTGATCTACGGAAGAGAACAGAAAATGCTGGAGGACAGACAGACAGCCAGAACAAAATTAATAAAGAGACAGATGAAAGCTACACTGATGGAAGAAATCTTGTTTTTTTTTCTTTTTTTTGAAAGTTGCATCACCTTCACAAAGAAAAAAAACACAACTAAGAAAACTACTGCAATGACAGGAGCAACTATAGTGCTGTGCAACCTTTTATTGCCTGGCAGCTATGGTGAAGCTGTATATTCTGAGCTGACCCTAAACGTCCCACACAGTCTCTGCACATTCACAGCAAGCAGCAGCCGCAGCAGAAACTAGATGTACCGGCGCTCATTACCTACCTGCTGACAAAATGGATCTACAAGTCTGAAATATAGCAGACCGAATCGATAGATCTGATGAGCTAGATCAGTCACATTAAACAGTCTGACACTGTTTTCATTAGATCCTTGGATGGTGGGGAAAGGATGTCTCCATGGATAACAAGCAGCTACATGTGTCAGTTTTTAATGGCTTTAAAAAAAAAAAGTGTTGGAAGTCAGCACTGTTCCCGTTACTGGGAAGCAGAACTTAACTATATTATTACAACCAGTTTCTACGTGGTTGTTTATTAGAGGGTGGGCAAAACAATGGACTTGGGTCCATTCAAACATTTAAAAACCACTTCTGGAAATATTTTTCTAAGGCACCATACTGAAAGATTTTAAAATGCTAGTAAAAAAAAACACAGCACCTTGATTGATTGAAAGATTCCATTTAACTATGCATTATATTTTACTCAGAAGTTAAAATTTATGAGTATTAAGTTCTAAAAAAAAAAACAACCCATCAAAGATGGTCAATATTAAAAGTTTGAGAGGAAAAATCTGAGCTCTCTCACCTGCAGTAACATCAAAATCCAGTATGGCAAAACTTTTGTGATAGCAGCAGTTGATAACCATTTACTTGCACTTTTTTTCACGTTGACATGTGATAAAGTCTTCACAGAAAGCTTGAAAATACTTTCCCTTAATGAATATTTTGATCCCTTCAGTTTATTAGATCTGTTTTTTTTTTTTTGTTATTTGAAACTGGGACTTAGTTGTTTGAGGTTCCAACATCAAACGAATATAAACACAGCATCTGAAGAACTGCAAAGAAGAATGGGTGAAACTGCCTAAAGATATAGGTGTGCTATGTTTGTAAAAGTATAAAAAAGGAAATCTTTAAAAAAAAAAAAAAGAAGAAACAATCCTTTCTTTGGAGTACACCAGCTGTTATTACCAATTTATAATGCATTCCAAATCAAGATCATTACTGAGGTACAATATTCCTTCCAAAAGTATTGATGCCCTATTAACTTTGTCACGTTCTTTCATATTAAAACCAAAAACACAAATGCTTCCATTTGGGGTTTTATGTGTCAGACCAACACAAACTAGTGCACAATAGTAAACTAAAAAGGAAAATGGTGCATGACTTCCTAAAAAACACACAATCCCTAAACACAACCCTCCCTAATGTGAAACATGGCGGTGCCAGCATCATGATGTGGCACCGGCTCTGGGTTTATGGGTAGACGGGTGGATGGTGCGGAATACAGGGTGAACCTGTAAGAGGATGCCAAGGAACACTGAACTTGAACCAACAAAAGGTGGTCCTACAAAGGCTTTATTCAGTGGAACTAAATGAAAATGTTTGTCACACTTTTCAGATTTTATTTGAAAAAGATTTTGAAAACCGTGGCCTAGTTTCCTTTCACTTCACATGTCTTTACTTACTGGTAAAAGTACTCATAAAATCCCCCCCCAAAAAAAACAGTGAGGCAAAACGACAAAACGTTTTGTTTTGTCGTTTCAATTAGAGGTATAAATGAATGGCTTTACAAGGCGCTGCGTTAATAATTCAATCACGAAGAACACAATGTCGTATCACCAATGACTGACCTACTCCTCATCAGCGATAAGAATACGAGGACGAGAATATCATGATTTATAAAATACATTGTTCATCCTTGGAGAGAACGTTGCACGAGGGAATGGTCTATAAAGGTTTTACATCCAATAATTGGTCAGAAAGACAAGGAAGACAGCCAGAAAGCACTGCAGAGAGGAAAGCAAAGCAGGAGAGGGAGCGACGGTTTTAGAAAAAAATAAAAGTGAGCATTGCAGCAGTGCAGCAGTGTTGCTTTGTGGCCTCAGGTGCAGCGCCGGCCTAATGAGGCCATTCTTACCCGTAGTTTGTGACTCTGCGTCCTCACCACCTTCTCCTGCTGCACCACGTCCACCGGACACTCGTTTAGGGAGCAGTCAGCTTTGTGTCTGAGCCAATCTTCATAGCCCTGACAGAGAGGCAGCAAGACAGAAATAGGAAGCAAATTTGTAAAGGTATAAAATAAAAAAAATAAAAAAATGATGCTTGTGCAGAGTGCTGGAGCATACGATCCCAACAACTGGAGGATTTCAGACTCTGTAATAAGTTAGTATTGGGCTCCGTTTGCTTACTGACCCGTTTCCTATGTTTTAAGTGAAAATGCCACGTTTTAGATTAATGTCCCGTAAAGCTCGGACGACTTCATCTATCACTAATAGCACCCCATCTCTCACTATTTGGAGATGTATCTCCCAGAGCCACGGGATCCTCCGCTCAAGTGATTAACAGAAGAGAACACTCATTATCATATTTTTCACATCACCAGACTTATTCAATAGTATGTCCTCTCACCAGGAGAGGAATGTGTGCATACGGAAAATGGAGCAGCTGCAGATTGGTCTGGAGAGAGTGTGTGTTTTTGTTTGAGGCCAGTAGTTATTGGGGCGATATTTCCCGGAGACTGGAGCTCATTTGTGTCCGTCCTACCTGTTTTATGGCGGTGACGGTGATAACAAAGAAGAGGGGCAGGCCGCTGGTGACTGGGCTGGTGGGGGTGTCGATGATAAGCTGCGAGGAGAAAGGACAAACGGGAGGGAGAGAAGAGGGGGAGGTTGAAGAGGGGACAACACAAAGAGGAGGAAGGAAAATATGGAGTGAAGCTAAGCTGAGGTCGGAAGATGAAGCTCATAAAATTACTGAAAGAGCACCAAACTTTGCATCTATACCATCGAACTGAATCCATTTACAGGTGAAAATAAGCCTTTTATCAGAAAAAAAAAAAAAACAGAAATCAAACAAAGATTTTCCTTTCCTCTGTTATTAAACAATAGAAATCCAGCTGGTGTGTCACACCCAGTTTCTCACGTGAGAGAGTGCAAGATTTCACATGACACTGGTGGAAACGAACAGCCCTGACTTGAGGCAACTGCTGGTTGGGAATTGCCAGGATTATGTCTGAAACGCACATAATGAGTCCAAACGTTTCTACTTTAATTGTGCAAAATATGAGTTAACTGAGTTGTTTTGTTACACAGACTTCGTAACCTCGAACTAAAGTTCTACGAGAAGGTGTAAGGCTCTTTTTGGTCATAGTCAACAGCTGGTTGCGCTCTAACCAACCTACGATTCAACAAAGGCTGTCTTAAGGATCCTTAAAACAGCTCAAAAACCATCCAGACATGTCGATAATGAATAGCAAAGAAAGAGGAAACAGTTCCGACACCCTGTACTCACTGAAGGAGCCTAATGAAGCTAACAAAGGACCGGCTATCGCGGTGCAAAGCATGGTTTTGTAGCTCAAGTATTTGGCTATCAATGTGAAACTAGCACAGCTTCAATCACAGAGTTCATCTGTCACAATGTAAGCAACATTTGAAGTTTTTTTGTTTTGGAAAAAAAAAGCATCTTTAGCAAAGTTTTTGGTTATTTCAAACACAAGCTAACGTCATCCAAAGTAAAGGCAATGATGTATCTGAAACAGGTCATTTCAAGTAACTTTAGAGATGACTTTTTTTTTTTTACAAAACCAAAAGTAGACTGTTTTATTTTGCTTTTTTAATTTTTTTTTTATTTAACTCAAAGAAAAATTTTACCTGGACCAAAAATATGACCAAGAAGTAGAAGTTAGCGATTCTTCTGAATTGCTCAAACAGGTTCTTGGGGATGAAGTTCCAGAAGGTGTACTGTGGAACAGAGAGAGAAGGGGGGAAATAAAACTACTGATGCAGTTCGAGAATCAGTGGCACATCACAAACTTTCTCTACGCCAGAGAAAACATGTACAGCTTGACAGGAGGAAGTCGAGAGAATAGTTTCCTTTTTCAAAAAATGTGACAGAAGACATTACATGGTTGGCTGGATTTGAAACAGAAAGGGAGCATGAAGATAAACTATGCCGTGGCAGAGGCTGGGGATCGCTCACCTTAGAGGAGACGATGCGGTTGTCGGGATAACGCTGAGGGATGTAGGCCTCAGCTCCCGGAGGGGGTTCTTTATGGCCGATATACACCGTCCGGCTGTCCACCCAGTTCTCCTCCCCTGCACACTGACAATGAAACGGGAGAATGTCGGGATAAAAATAGCAGCACAGAGACAAAGAAATGATTAAACTAAACCATTCCTAAAGTCTGTACTTTGCTTCATTATGCTACCCATTACAGCATTGCTCAAATGTACAGCACTCAATGCAAAGCCAAGGAAAACACATTGGATCCCATATGGAACAAGCTGTATTACAACAAAACATCTCCTTGGAGAGTTTATTCCAGGGAATTAGATCAGCAGATACTAACTCTCACCCTTCATTAGGCAATACAGCACTATTGTGGCAAGATATCGCCCCAAGAATAACAAAATAATAAAGACTTACGGCCTGGGGCGGCGCAAAATGACTGACAACGGTTAATGAAGCGAGCCTTACAGAAACACTGATCAGAAAAATAAACAATGTGCTCTACACAACATAAGCAATTCTGCACTATTTTAGTGAAGTTATGTTAGTCCAAATTAAGTTTCCCACCTTGATGTGTTTTAAATATGGCTTTAAGGGCAACCAGCACATTCTTGTGAGCAGACCGAAGTGAAATAAAGGCATAAATTACTTGGTGAAAAGCCCACAGCCACAGATCTAAACTTATCCACCGTTTATGAACAGGAACGTGCCATGAGGTAAAAATAGTGATGTAGTCGATGCTGTGAGCCGAGTTAAGACCCCACCAAAGCATTAGTGAAGGCAACATGACCCCGGTAGACACTGTGAAATGAAAACTGACAGTGGAGCAGAACGAGCAGCAGGACCAATAAGAGGAGCGGAGCGCAAAAGTGAAAAGAACAGATTATGACACCACAAACTGTGAAAAAGGCACCGAGAAGGAAAACACAGAGAATGTAAACTAAGAGCCTCTACAGTGCCTAAAGTATGGACAGTGAAAAAAGCACTATTCACATCCCCTGAACTTCTACACATTTTAAAATCTACTAAACAAAAAATTCAATGTGTCGTTTTATTTATATTTTATGCGATAGATTGACACAAAGTAGCCCAGAATTATAAAGTGGATGAAACATTATTTAAGTTTCTTTTTACAATCACAGTTTATATCCAGCTCTTCTCTGAAAGCGTCAGTGGTGTTTTTAGAAAACACTAGAGATCACGAAGACCAAGAAACACAGCAGACAGGTCAGAGAGAGAGCAGGGAGAAGTTTAAAGCAGGGTTAGGTTATACAGCAATAAGCACTGTCCAATCCATTATCCTAGTATGGCGCTACTGCAAACCGACATGGCAACCCACCTGAACCGACAGGGCAAGAAGAGCATCAATCAGAGAAGCAGCCAAGACGCAACTCTGGAGGAGCTGAAAAGATTTACCGCTTGAGGAGGAGAGAGTGTGTTGACATGAAGGCCATATTGCACAAATCTGGCCTTCATGGAAGAGGAAGAAAGGCATGGCTGAAAGTAAGCCATAGCAAGCTTTGTTTGCAATTTGACACAAACACAGCAAACATGTGAAAGAAGGAGTTTTTTTTGTGTGCGTGTAATTTTTCTTTTTTTTTTTTTTTTTTTTTTTTTTTTAAAAAATTTAAAAAAAAAAATTTTTCGGGTGAGGAAAAAACACTGC